GGGGTTTCACCGTGTTAGCCAGGATGGTCTCAATCTCCTGACCTCGTGATCTGCCCACCTCGGCCTCCCAAAGTGCTGGGATTACAGGCGTGAACCACTGCGCCCAGCCCCGCGAACACTTTAAAATGAATGATTCACCCCAGCCTCTGAGTGGAAGATGCTGTGGATGTACCCATTTTATAGTTGAGTAAACTGAGGCTCAGAGGTGAAGTGCCTTGCCTGGGTCACCTGCTGTCATCCTCCGGAAGACCATTCCCTCCTGTATGTTGGTCCAGGGCATCCCCAGCCCGTCACACCTCTGGGCTCAGGGCTTGGCCTCCAGGGACATGCTGGAAACGGCCCCAGCCTGGAAGCCCATCCGGCCGCAACTGTGTTTATTTGCCCAAGCACAGAAGGACCCACTGTTGATTGCTTTCTTTTGAAAACTAGCCGAGCCTTTGTGCAAAAACCAGGCAGGCACATCATCGATGGCTTACGCTTGCAAAAAGCACAGACGAGAAATTTAAAAAGAAAAATCTCTAAGGCTTTGCCCTAAAGATGGTTCCAACGCTGCCTTCCGGAGACCCCCCTGAGTCCTGCTCGGAGCCTCTGATGTCCAAATGCAGCTGAGGCACGGGCTCATGTCTGCAACCTGGGTCAGCCCTGGGGGCGTGACATTGCAGTTAGCCATTTTCCCCTCTGAGCCTCAGTTTCCCTGTCTATGAGATAGGGCCCCCAGGGCTGCCAGGCTTCTGGGAGTCAGTGCACCCCTGGTACAGTGTCAGTTCCCAGTAAATGCGGCCTGTTATTATGTCTACTGTTGTGACTATTTATTGCTTATGCACCAGTTTTACTAAAATGGGCCCATGACATCCTGTGACTTTTCTTGTAATCAGTATGCGCTGATGGTGTCACTGCGGGATGGGGACTTCTGTCCTGGATGATACGCCATGATGGATGCACTCAATCCCGTCCGACATATCTGTGTCTCCTTTTCACTCCTCTGCGCCACGCCTGTGCCTGCGTCTTTGCGGAGTTGCACTTACTGTCTCAGGGTCACTTCCTGGAGGCCTGTTTTCTATTTTTGTGCAAATTGCACCAGGAACCTTTGAACATACAAAGACCCAGGAGAAGGGAGGGAAGGTAGGAGCAAGTTCAGGGAACAGCCCGGACACGGGATCACCTCTCACAACTGCCCTGTGAGCTGCAGCTGATTTGCTGCTGGAGGGCGTGGGTGATGCTGGGCTGATGTGGACACAGACTGTGCATTCAGACACACCCAGCCTGTTTGTCCCCCTGTAATGTGGGCAGATGAGGGGATAGGTGCTTGGGGAGGGAAAGAAAGGCTGCAGTTTAGGGAGGCCTCCACCTGGAGTCCTGCAAGCTGCTGGGGCTTTGGGGTGGTGGTGGTCCTGGGGTCAGAGCAGACATCTGGCAGGAGCAAAGCCCATGGTTGCTGTGGAGACACAAAGCCAGCCGGGGCTGTAGGAAAAACAGCCGAGGCAAGAGGGACACCTCTTGGGTGCCAGCGGGTAAGCTGAGGCTGACGGTGGCCTCTGGTCATCTGGTATGGACTCCTCTGCGTTTCTCAGCTGTGCCCAGCCAGGAGGGGCAGCCCCAAGGGTGTAGGGGTATAACTCTCACCCTGGCCGGCCTCCCTGCACTCTTTAAAATCAAACCTGACCTTGTTCCCTTGCCTGCTGGTTCCCACGTACGTTGAACATCATCTCCTTGGGACAGCTCTGTAACCAACACCGAGGTCAGGGCAGGCCTGGGCTTGGGGATGGGGTCCCGTTTGTGTTTGGGCCTCAGCCCAGCACTGGGGATATAAAGTAGGAACAAGACTTGAAAGCTCTGATGCCAGGGCCTAAGATCCCAGCCAGCTGTACGGGCAGGGAGCCGGAGAAGGTTTTGGAGCTGGGATCTAATGTGCCATTCCTCTTCCAGCTCCAGCCGGAGCAGCTGGACTGTGGAGCTGCTCACCTGCAGCACCCGCTATCCATCCTGCAGCCCCTGAAGGCCACACCCGTGTTCCGTGCCCCAGGCCTCACCTCCGTGGCCGTGGCCAGCGTCAACAACTACACAGCGGTCTTCCTAGGCACGGTCAACGGGCGGCTCCTCAAGGTAGGGAGGGGGTGGGGGCGGGAGGCTCCCCTGGGGGTTGACTGAGTGTCAGTCTGTACACAGGGCTGCTACAGGTCCAGCCTGACCCTTTGTTTTCTCCCATTCACCTAGCACTTTACAGTTTACAAAGTATTTTGCAAGTCTGTTTTTGCTACTACTGTTCATAATATAGGTGGCGTCTGTACAGAGGAGGGAAACCAGGGCTCAGAGAGGGTGCTTCTGTCACAGGCTCTAAGACCGGGGCTTTGAAACCGTATGGGTCTGAGTTCAAATGTCTGGGCTCTGCCATTTGCTGGCCCTTTGACCTTGGGCAGCACATATTCTCTCTCTAGGCCTCAGTTTTCCTGTCTATTAAGGGCTATAAGCTGTTATGGGGCTTTGGCAAGGTAAGACCACAGCCTGGTAAGCAGGAATGCTCATTCATTTCTCCTCCTGAGTCCTGCCAGCCACCCTGTCCCAGGGTGACTGGTGTCTGGAGTTAACTGTACCCTAGCCCGTGGCCCTGAGATTCCTGGAGCTGGGAGGAGATGTGCAGAATCTGGTTTCCCTGCTCTGGGGCAGGACAGACATGGTGGAGCCTGGGCCAGACCCCCAGGTGCAGCCCTGGACCTGCCCCCAACCCAGCCACCTCTCCTGCTCCCTGTTGGGAGACTCAGCTAAGCGCCACCACTCTATTCATGCACCAGGCCCGGCCTAACTGCTCAGATCCGATCACCCAAGCTCCCCCCACCCACTGCCTGGGCAGATGTTGTGGGCTGGGTGGGCATGGGGAGTGGAGTCCCAGGACCCCACTGCTGCGGCTGGGGAGAGCACAGAGGTGGGGCTCGCCAATGGAGCTCGTGGTTTGGGGTCAGATACTCACATTTGGAGTCTGGCTCTGCCGCTTCCAGCTTTGTGACCTGGGGGCAATTTCTTCTTCCCTCCTAGCCTCAGTGTCCTGGCTTGGGAACATGAGCCAGGCCCCAACCCCACCCTCAACGCCCAGGAGGCTGCAGTTGTTAGGCACCCACTGTCTACCCAGAGCCTAAAGGGCATCCTCTCACTTAATTCTCACACCCCTGCAAGGGAGGCAGAGGCACGATTCCAATGCCACAGATGAAGACGTTGAGGCTCTGAGAGGGAAAATGACTGCCCTCCAGACTCACGCAGCGGGAGCTGGACCACAGCCCACACCCCGCCACGGCCGGGAGCCTCTCACCCACCACCCTGCACAGTGTGGCCTCTGTCTCTAGCCAACCCTGCCCTGCTCGGGCCTTAAATTGCCACACCCAGCACAGGCCCTGGGGCACAGTAGGTGCTCAATAAATGATTGAAGGAGTAGAAATGAATTGAGTGTCCACTGGATGCCTGGACATAGGGGTGGGTACAGGCAGTGGCCTGAGCCCCTACAAGGCTCCGCCAGGAGGCCACCTGGGACAGGGGTGTCTCAGTCTGGGACAAAGCCCATGGAAGCCTAGGGAGAAGGTAATTTTGACTTGGTACGTACAGGCTTCTGGGCCTCATGTGTGCATTGGTAGAAGGGGAACGGGAAGGAATATTTCAGAGAAGAGCACAGCGTAGGCAAAGGCCTGAAGGCTGGAATGTGTGAGCAGGGTTGAGGGGCTGGAGATAAGGCTGGGGTTGTCCGGGTTAGGTCACCAGGACCTCAAGTGCCAGAACAGGTTCATCCCATAAGCAGAAAGGAGCCACGAAAGGTTTGGGAGCCCCAGGAGGAAAGCTGGGGCAGGAACTGGCCTAGGAGGTGTCCGGACCACTGGCTGCATCTCAAAATGCCTAGCCTGGGGCCTGGCAGGGCCCAGACAAGACCAGCACGCTGGGAACAGGCAGGGCCAGGCAAGAAAGAGCAGTTTGGTGGGGCTCTGACCGGCGTTGTCCTCAGGAGGACACGCAGAGGGTCCCTCAGAGCCAGAGAAGCTTCCAGGCCCCAAATAGTCCTGGTCTTCCTCCTCCCTGCACCTTCCACACCCCCAGCCTTAAGTCTTGGACTCTGGGGTCAGGCAGGCCTGGTATTGCATTGTAGCCTTGTGATCTCTTCACTTTGTGCCTCTTGTCAACTCCCTCGGCTGCTCACGACCTCAGATTCCTCCTCCGTGAAGTTGGCCTTGGGGGGAGGAATGAGACCAGCAGCCTAGCAGCTTCCCTGGGCCTGGCCCCATCAGCCTGATCTGTGTCTTATTTAATGCTCATGGCTCACCTGCCCCATTCGCTCAGGAAACAGTCTCAGAGAGGGGAGGCAGCTTGTACAACTTACACGTTGTAGAGCTCCTCAGTGTCAAAGCCAGAATCCAAATCCAAGCCCCTGCCCTTAGCCATGGTGCCTAACAGCCTCCCAGAGCACGTTTTGTAAACTGCAAAGCCTGCACAGATTCACAGGGTGGGATGCTGGAGAAGAGCCTAGAGGGAGCTCCTGGTGGGGGCACAGCAAAGGCAGAAGCATTGAGGCCAGGTCCAGTGCCCTCTCCTGCACACCTGTGATTTCCTACCCCTCCTGAAGGGTCCAAGACAGGATGGGGAGGCGGAGCTCCCAGACCTGGCTCAGGTTGTCCCCTGGGTTTGGCCTCCCCTGCTATGGGCTCCAGCACTCTGATGCCCACTACCCCAACAGATCAACCTGAACGAGAGCATGCAGGTGGTGAGCAGGCGGGTGGTGACTGTGGCCTACGGGGAGCCCGTGCACCATGTCATGCAGTTTGACCCAGCAGACTCCGGTTACCTTTATCTGATGACATCCCACCAGGTGAGGCCAGAGCCCCAGCCCAACGCCATCCCAGCACCAGCTGAGCCCTCTTGCTTGCCTGGCCTTTGCACACACTATTCCTCTGCCAGGAGCACCCTCCTCCTCCATCCCCCTTATCTGCTAACTCCACCTTGTCCTGCGCCTCCCAACACGGACCTCGCCTCTTCAGGGAAGCCTTGTCTCCCATGTTCCCCCATTAGAGTGTTGACCTTCAGTTTCCCCAGCCTTTCATGGCCCTCACCATGCTGACCGTACTGCCTCCCCAAGGGAGAGGCTGGCAGTCTCACTGAGCTGGGCTCCCACCTCTTCCCCCAGATGGCCAGGGTGAAGGTCGCCGCCTGCAACGTGCACTCCACCTGTGGGGACTGTGTGGGTGCGGCGGACGCCTACTGCGGCTGGTGTGCCCTGGAGACGCGGTGAGGCTGGAGACCAGCAACACCTGGGCCAGGAGGGCTGTGGGAGTGGGAGGAGCCGACCTCGGTCCTGACCCTATGGTACTGCCCCAGGTGCACCTTGCAGCAGGACTGTGCCAATTCCAGCCAGCACCATTTCTGGACCAGCGCCAGCGAGGGCCCCAGCCGCTGTCCTGCCATGACCGTCCTGCCTGCCGAGATCGATGTGCGCCAGGAGTACCCAGTGAGTCCTGGGGGAGGCAAGACCCAACTCGGGACACAGAAGGGAGCCTCCCTTCACCCTGCACCCAGGCCCCGAGAGGTGGAGACTCCCCCCCATGGTGCCCCAAGGACCTGAAGACAAATAATGAGAACAGTGACAATGACTGGGCCTTCCTGACCAACTAGTAAGTGCCAGGCACGTGCTCTGTGCTTGACGTCCACCTCTGTTAGGCCTCACATACCATATGAAGCAGATGCTTTTAACATCTCCGTTTTACAGATGGGGAAACTGAGGCACCAAGCGGTGAAATGACTTGCTGCAGGTCGCACAGCTAGGGAGTGGTAGGCTGGAATCTAAACTCAAGAGGCAGGTTCCAGAGACCCAGGAGGGAGGGTACCAGTTGGAGGCTAGGAGGACAATGAGTCCCACCCACCTTTTCCCAGAACAGGGGATGAGGGGAGGGACCACCAGGTGCCAGACTGAAATTTCTCCTTCTCAGAAACAGATAAACCTGCAGTGCAGGGGGCTGGGTCTACCCCCGGCTTGTGCCAGGAGGGCTCTGGCAGGTAGCCTTGGCGGTGGGGGATTCTGAGCCCTGGCAAGAGGTGGGAGCTGAGGTTCAGACAGGTCTGGGGCTCGTGCATCTGGCTCTCAGTGACTTCTCTGAGGATGGGGGTCCTCTTCTTTCACCCTGGGGGGCTCTGACAGCCTGAGTCTGGCCTGTAGCTGCTTGGCATCTGGGGCTCCTCTGCCCTGGCCCACCATTATCACACATCACAGAGTCCTTCCCTCATTCATTCAGTCATTTCATTCATTGAACAAATATTATGGAACACCTACTATGTGCCAAGCACAGCTCCAGACTCTGGGGACATATCAGTGATCAAGACAGACCCCTAGCCCCAGGCTTGTGAGGGAGGAGAATAGGCAAGATAAAACCTGAAGGTGATGCTAAGTACCGTGGAGAAAGCAAAAGCGCATGGGGGTGGGAAGCGGGTTGTGGGTGCAGATATCTCAGGCCAGGTCAGGTAAAATATGCAGGAGGGGAGCCAGGGTGAGCGTCTGGAAAGAGTGTCTGGGTGGAGGGAACTGCCAGTGCAAAGGCCCTGAGGTAGAAACAAGATCAGCTGTTTTGGAGAGTATTAGGAGATGGGGTCAGAGGTCACAGGGGCCAGATCATGCAGAGCCTTCTTGACCACTGTAAGATGATGTTTCATTTTGCAGCTGGTGAAACTGAGGCTCAGAGGGTCACATGTAGGGCATAGTCCTCTAGCCCTGAGTCCTGGCCACCACTACCCCCTCCCCCAGGGGACATTCAGGCAGTGCCAGACCTCGGGTTGGTGCACAGCCCTGGGGCAGGCTGTGAGGAGCGTAGCCTGGGCCCCCAGAGCTGAGGGTTCCTTGCCCCCAGGGCATGATCCTGCAGATCTCGGGCAGCCTGCCCAGCCTCAGTGGCATGGAGATGGCCTGTGACTATGGGAAAAACATCCGCACTGTGGCTCGGGTCCCAGGCCCTGCCTTTGGTCACCAGATCGCCTACTGCAACCTCCTGCCGAGGGACCGGTTTCCACCCTTCCCCCCCAACCAGGGTAAGCACGCTCTGCTGTTGGCACAGCCCCGGAGGGGCAGAACGGTGGACTCTCAGGCATGGGGATGGCAGGGGGCCAGAGGTCACAGCTTATGATGTTGGTGGCAATCCCCTGCCCCCATGTCCTCTCCCTGGCTCCCCATCCATTTCAGACCACGTGACCGTCGAGATGTCTGTGAGGGTCAATGGGCGGAACATCGTCAAGGCCAATTTCACCATCTACGACTGCAGCCGCACTGCACAAGTGTACCCCCACACAGCGTGAGTGGCATGGGGGCTTGCCTCCAGGTGGTGGAGGGAGGAACGCATCCCTAGGAAGGGTCTTTGCTCTTGGGGGCCCGGGGAAGGAAAATCATAGCATCATAGAGTAGACAGGCCCCTCAGTTGTTCATTCACCAGCACATTTATTCATTCTGCAATAAATGCATACTGCCTGATGCCTGGCCTCTGTGGACAGCCAGGTGGGACAGGGCAAAGTGCTTTGATTATACTCAGTTTAGTCTCCTAAAGGCCCCATCTCTTTTGACTCTGCTTTGTATACCTCTTGTACCGGCAGCTCACTACCTTAAAGACCCTGTCTTTCCCGCAGCTCCGATGATGAGAAAGACCTTTCCCTGTGCTGGGATCTGCCTTCTGGGTTCCAGTTCTTGGGACAGGGATGAGGTGAGGGGTGGGGAACCAGGAGTTGAGGGGCCTCCTTGTCTTCCAGCTGTACCAGCTGCCTGTCAGCACAGTGGCCCTGTTTCTGGTGCAGCCAGCAGCACTCCTGTGTCTCCAACCAGTCTCGGTGCGAGGCCTCACCAAACCCCACGGTAAGCCAGGTTAGGGGGCCCGTCCGCCTCTGCCGTTTCGTTACCTTTTTTTAAAAAACTTCACATGTTGAGAGTGTTTCCATGCCCTTGCATATTGCTCCGTAGCTTTGGTTTTAACAGCTATGTGGGGCTCATCACGTACCACGGTGCATTTAACCCGCCTATAGCTGGACATACTGATTACTTCCTCTTTTTGCATTTTGATATAGCCAGGGCACTATGCATATCCTTGATGATTCCCTGAAGACCACTTCTTAGAAATGACCTGTTGGAGTGATAGTGTGGCCATAGTTTTACATCTTGAACTCAACTGCCTTCCAGAAAGTCTGAGCCAGTTTACACCCCCACCTGCAGTAGGAAGACCATTTCAACAACCCTAGGTGTTCAGGGCATTTGTCCTCAAGGCCTGTGGAGGTGATTCATTTAAGGTCACCCACCCAGGCAGTACCAGACTTGGGCCTTAATCCAAGTCCCTCTGCCCCTGGAGCCCATATTCTCCCCTCTTGTGAAAATCAGGAACTGGGTGGAAAGGGCCCTGCCTGGGTTTCTGCACCAGCAGTGGCGTGCCAAGGGTGGGTGGTGCTGCAGCTGTCCCTGGACAGGGAGGATGGGCTGGCCTCAGAAACCGCACGCTCCCAGGTCCTCTTGCTCATGTCAGTCCCTAGGACCCTTCAGTCTGACTCTGTGCTCGTCGGGGGCCATGCCTGCCCTGGCACTGCATGGTGGCTGGGTTTAATGAATTAAATGGGGCGTGAGCAAGAGGAAGAAATGTAAAAATGGATCAATCTAGGCTTTTTAGTGTAAAGATAAAGTAAAAATGGACGTGCCACATACCTCGCCCCTGGTTGGTTTCTGAGATGTGTTCACTTTCCAGGTGGCCTGTCACCTTTGCCCAGGAAGCCTCTAAGGCCACTACAGTCCATGTCAGGATGGCCAAATGGAATGCCTGGGACCTTGGCTGGGGTGATGAGGCCTAGCCAGGTGGGATGTGCCAGGGTCCTGAGATCCCAGCTTGTCCCCTCTCAGACCTGGCCCATATCAGGGCTGTGGGTGGCTGGGGTAGAGCACCAGGGCTCCTGTAGCTCATCTCTCCAGGAAAAGGCTGGTCCTGCCCATTTTCCAGATGGCACAACTGAGATAGCCAACATGGCACCTGGTGTCCTGGCTCCCTGCAGAAGGTCACTGGGGCCCCACCCTGGGCACACATCCTGGGGAAGCAGCCCCAGCACCCAGAGCCTCTGCAGCCCCAGCCTCTGCACTGGGCTCAGAGAATCTTTTCAGGAATCCCTGAAGCCCTGTCTACCCTGGCAGGTGCTAAGGAGGGGGCTCCGTGGCCTCAGCCTGGAATCCCCTGCTCGCTCACAGCACACAGCACCTCCCGCCTGAGCCCCATAACTGCTTTGAAGAGCCTGGCAGGGGCTGTGCTTAATTCAAAGAGGAGCATGGCTTGGGGGGCTTCCAGCACTGGAGGAGGGCCCAGTGGAGTCTGTGCAGCTAAACCATGCGGGAGCCCTGAGCGGCTCCTGGACCCCCAAATTCCACAGTTGAGGCCCCACTAGGACTCCTGCTCTTGTTTGGGGACCCCATCTCAATCACGTCTCTTCCTTCCAGCCCCCAGCCCAGGGCTGTGTACACAGCAGGGGCTCGGTGATGGCAGTGTGGGATCACGCTGGGCAGCAGCCTGCTCCTTGTGCTCTAACTTAAGGGGTGTGAGGAGGACCCAGCCTCGTCACAGTTCATTCAGCATTTATTGAGTGCCTGCTGTATGCCTTAGTCAGTAGGGGGCCCTGGGAAAGAACCGAGTTGGACTAGTCCTGCCATCACGAGCCAAGAGCCTCAGGTGTGAGCTGTGGCCGTGTGATCCTAGGGAAGCTACTGAATCTCTCTGTGCCTCTGTTTCCCCATTTATAAAATGGGCCTGCCTGAAGGATTTGGTGGGGATCTGGAATTGTGCCCGTAAGGCACCAGCTCTATACTTGGCACATAGTAGATGCCCACTACAGAGCCACCATGCACCTTGGGAACTGACGGCCACTCTGTGTGGGTGGCCAGAGAGCACTTCTCTTGAGAGGGGACCTGTGTGCTGGGTCTTGAGAGAGGCACAGGAGCTCACCCCCTGGGAGGGAGTTCCATGGCAGCGTCCCATCAGATGGCTATCCCCCAGGTCCGCAGTTCTTCAGGCCAGGAGCTGGGGTGGAGGCATGGAGGAAGCCGGTCTGAGAATTACAGTAACTAGCAGAAGAGGCTGCCCCGGGCCTGCAGGAGGCTCTGAACTGATGCTTAATTTGGCATTTAATGAAGTGCCAGTTGGTCATAGTGGCGCTGTGGTCTCTGTGTGGACAGCGGGCAGCAGGGTCTGCACACCACCTCGGGAGCTGGGAGAAGTGTCCCTGGGAAGGGAGGTGCTAGGGCCTGAGCCTCCTGTCACGTTTCCATTGTCCCTCATGGTCCCCACATGAAAGACATGGGAAGTAGAGGATGCTGGAAGGAGGGCTCCAGCTTTGGGGGAGGCAGGGAGGAAGGTGGATGTGTGCCCCATTTGCAGGTGCCTGAGGGGTGAGGTAGCTTCCCTGGGGGTGGCTTCCCAAGGACCACTCATAGGGGTGGGTGGTCACTAGGGGCCAGTGGAGAGAATGGGGTGGTAGGAACATGGGGGCAATTATGGGGCCCCTGGGGGTACAAAGAGGTAGGGAGGGACCAGGCCAGGTGGATTCAGGGTCCCTGGGTAGTTGAGTGCCCTGATGGTTTGAGACACCAGTTCTCCCCGCTGGAGTTTAGGAGAGGCTTTGCGAGAGCTGTGAGGACTCCTTCAGCCTCGGTTCTCTAGAATGGGGGTGAGCATCCACCTGGCCACAGGTTACAAGCGGCCAAGGGGAGTGGGGTGACCCTCAGGGGTGGTCCCACATCATTCACTGTGGGGACCCTCTTGTGAGAGCACCTCCTGCCCTGTCACGCCTCAGCCCCATATCAGCACCTACCCACTGGTGGGCTGGGGCCAGGAGGACAGAGGCTGGGCCCTAGCCAGCTGCAAAGCAGACCTGGCAGTGGTTCCGAGGCCTGAGTGGAAACATGTGGGTTCCATGCCCTGGGATTCTGTGGAGTTTACACACAGCACAGGGCAGCCTGTGGTCTGCAGGGGGCCTGGGGCTGGCTCCGTCTGGGGGCTTTGCCTAGAGAGGGCCCCTCCTTGGTAGGAACATGGAGGCCCGGAGGTGGTCAATGGCTTGTCTGTTCTGGCATAGGGAGCCAGCAGCACCCGGGCCTGGCTATGCTGCTTCTCTAGCCAAGGCCCCTGAGGTTTGCACCAGGCCCTGTCCCTAAGGGAACTCCCCACTCTGGTCTTGTGGTCAGCAAATGGTCTGGACGACTGGAGCGTTCCTGTGTTGCCCGTTCCACTGTAGGCAGACTGCTTTGCTTCTGTGTGCCTCAGTTTCCTATTCTGTAAAATGGGTGTAATGATAATGTCTACCTCCTAGGGTTGTTGGCAGTGGAATTTGGTGAATTTTAGAGTGTGAAGTGCTCAGAACGGTGCCGGCAGAGGGAGGGCCGCATGGGCTGGCGGCTGCTGCTGTTATTAGCGTTTTGTCATCACCAGTTCTTGTTGTTGGCATTTGCATCCCCTCGAGGTTCGCTTTTGGGCTGGGGTCCCTGAGGGGAATCAGTCCCTGTCCTGCCCTCATCTGATGTAGAATAAAGAAACCTCTCATATTTTGTGCCAAGGCCTTTAGCCTGGCTGGGTGACCTCATGCCACGTGGCCCATGGGCACTTTTGCTTTCTGGCCTGATTCTAACCCAGATCCTTCCACAGCCAGCCTTGGGAAGGAGGGCAGAGTAGGAAGTCCCTGGGCTGAAGGGTGGTTGGAGGCCCCTTGGCATGGGTGTGGCTGCTCCAGGGTCCCCAGTCCTGCGCTGCTCATGGTCCCAGCAGGTCAGATTCGGGAGCAGGAGGAGGCAGGAATGGCTCACTGGGGCCACCAAAGCTGGAGGACACGGGGCAGGTTGGGGAATCCATACCTCCCAGCTCAGAGCAGTCACTAAGGTGGACGTGGCGGGAACAGCCCTGCCCCTGGTCTCTGCCCCTCCAGAGTCAGGCACCTGGGCTTCAGAGGCCAGCCCTGTCCTCCGCCCTCAGGCAGCTCACTGCTCTTGGAGGCTCAGAATCTCCCCTCCCTCCCTCCCTTCCATCCTTCATTCCTCCTTCCTTCTTTCTTTCCCTCCCTCCTCCCCACTTCCTTCCTTCACTGAAGCAGCTGCTCTGCCAGGCCTCAGTAACTCCACCGCCAAACAAGGGCCAACCATGTGCTGTCCCCCCATGAGCCTGGGGCCCTTCCTGGGGCTGGCACCTTCACCCAGAGGCTGTGACTTGTACCCGGGCTGTGGGGAGGGGTGTTCCCTGCGGACCGGTGGTACCTGGCCCTCTGAAATGTCCTCTTGGTGTTTGGAGCCCTCCCTGTGCCTTTCCTATGGGCTCTTTGGAAGCCCAGGGTTTCTCTTTTCTGAATCGCTTAACACGGGTCAGTCAGGAAGCTGGAGTTTCAGCCCTGGGGGCATCTCAGGGAGTGGGTGCAGCCTCCCTGTTCTACTATTGGGAAAGATGAGGCCCAGAGACAGGAAGGAGCTGGGCCTGGAGCTCAGCCTCCCAGCCTCCTCTGAGGCCAGGGAGCACTCATGGAGGAAACTGGCCCCACCACTGGGCGAGTTATCCCATCTGCCTGTGCCCACCTTCCTCATCTTTAAACAGGGCTGATGCGACCTGCCCATAGGATGGAAGGCGGTGGTGGTTGGGAGGCACGGGGCCAGGGTGGTGGCCGTTAGAACTGAATGACTAGTGTTTTCTCCCCAGGAAGGCAGGACTGCACTGGGCAGGCTGGGGTGCAGTGAGTCCTCCTGCCTCTTCTCTGAAATGCCCCCGTGTCACCCTCTCCTCCTGTTTCCTCTGCAGAGCCCTCAGGATTGCCCCCGGACCCTGCTCTCACCCCTGGCGCCCGTGCCCACGGGTGGCTCCCAGAACATCCTGGTGCCTCTGGCCAACACTGCCTTTTTCCAGGTAAGTAGAGGTCAGGCCAGCGCCAGGTGGGGCCAGGAGGAGGCCAGGGAGCATGCAGGCCACTAACTGCCCCCATGTCCCGGTGTGACCCCTGCTCTGGGCCCACTGCAGTGCTTTGGCACCTGTGTGGGCTTTGCTTTTCTTTCTCTGAGTTTCCACATTCTGCGTGAGGAAGCCTCACTCTGACTGCATGGGGCTGCAGGAAGAGGAAGTGGTGAGGGCCAGGCCAAGGGGGAAAGCCGGGGGCCAGCAGCTGCCAAGGGAAAGGCAGTGCCCCCAGGCTCTCCTGCCCCGTGCTGTAGCCGGAGGGTGGACACTGCCCGTGTTGTGCCCTATCCTGTCCTCCCTTAGCCTGAGCTGTGACGCTGGACACACCCACCCACCACCGAGCCCACTGCCCCGTGGGTGGCTTCCATGTCTTCCCTGCAGAATAACTAGAGAACCCCTCGGTCACCCCGTTCCCCATTGTCCAGATGGGGAAGATGAGACCCAGGAAGGAAAAGTAGATGACGCCAGATCACACAGCACAGAGCTGAACTTGTCCTTAGCCCTGGACTCCCCATCCAGTGCTCGTCTTTGCAACTAGCCCCGCCCCCACCATCTGGTCTCGGGGTGGGGGACGCAACTCCTTTCTGGACCCCTCCTGGAGGCGCGTCCTGGGTGGGAAGCGTTGACGAGTCCTGGAGGCGTGCCAGCCACCCCCCTTCCCAGCTCCTTGGAACTCGCCATCTGTTACTTCCGTGGAGGAGCTGAGGCCCGTGAGGGCTCTCACACGTGGGGACCACGTGCCGGGCATCTGGGATGTGTCGGGAAGCCTCGTGGCAGGGGCTGGAGCTCTGGGAGGGCTAGGGTGGGGCCTGCCCTCATCCCTCAAGCCCCACCCTGCAAGAGTTGGGGCAAGCACCTCCAGGAGCAGCCAGGGGACTGGGCGGGTGGGCAGGATGGCTCTGCCCCTGGGCCGTGGGCGCCTGGGATGGGGAGGTGCGGGCCTGACTTGAGTCCTGCCGATTCTTCCCAGCTGTGTGGTGGGGCAGTCTCCACTCTGACCGAGCTGCAGGGGCGGCTGCCCTCCTGCCCCCCGGGGCCTGCTCCTAGAATACCGAAGGCAGGCCCAGCGGTGGGGGCCTGTTTGCTCAGCCTATATCCTGGGGAGCCCTGGGACAGGCTGGGTGTGCTGTTCTGAGGTGGCTGAGGACTCAGAGGAGGGACCTGTCTCCAGCTCAGCGTGGCAGGGCACAAAACGGACTTTTGGCCCCGTCAGCAGCCACTTTCCTGTATTAGCTTCCGGGCTGGGACCCCAGAAGCAGGGAGGTTGACCTGCACTGTCCTCAGGGTGTCACATCTGCCAGCCACAGGGACATAAACAGGAAGCTCTGCCACGCGGCTGGCTGGGGGCTTGGCGTAATACACAAAACCTGAGTCTGTTCACTCAGCAAGTATGTATTGGTGCTGCTCCTGAGAGGGCCAGATGAGCCTGGGGAACTGAACCTCATGACACAAACGTTATTGGATACCTCCTGCATACTAATAATAGCAAGCACATATTAGGCCCCTACAGTGTGCAGCCCCCTGAGGTACACAATCTCCAGTTTTCCCAGCAACCCTATTCCCATTGTCCAGGAAAACCAAGCCTCAGAGAAGGGGAGCGACTTGCATGAGGTCACACAGCTGGGAAATGCAGAGGTGGGGTTTGAACCCAGACCGGGGCTCTTCCAGCTGCTTTCTGCTGCCCTTGGGGGTGGTGTCAGAGAAGCCGAGGCCCAGCCCTGACCCTCCCCAGTTGTCGAGGGGACAGGTCAACAGCCAGGCAAGGGGCTAAGGGTGGTGCCTGGCACACAGGGTTTGGGGCGGCTCTAGGAGCGTCAGCGCCCCAGCAGACACCTGAATAGTTGCTGCTGAGAGAATGAATGAGGATTGAGTGAGGTACACCCCTTTGATTTGAGGGGAGCATCTGGGAAGACTTCAGAACAGGAGGCTTTTAAGCTGAATTCTGAGGGCTGTGTTGAGCTTTGCTGGGTGGTAGAAAGGGAGGCAGCTGTTCAGGTTAGGGGAGGGCTCGGGCAAAGGCCGGGGCAGGGGAGCCTGGCCGTGTTGGGTGTCAGGGCATGTCTGGGCAGGGCCTGGTAGGGCAGGATGGGAGATGGGAAGGCTCGAAGAGCAGGGGAACCCCGCTGGGAGTGGAGCCTTAGGAACTGAATACAAGGCCCTCTTGGTTAGATCACTGGGGGTGCTGGAGAGGCTTTTAGTGGTGCTGAGAGCATGAGGCCAAAGTCCTTGGCATTCCTGCACTGCTTGCCTCCCTCAAACATTGGATGTGATGGCCGGGAAGGGGATTTTGGGGGATGGGACAGCCCGGGCAAAGGTCTGACAGTTCAACCAAGCCCACTTTTCTCAACAGGAGCCCATGGTGTCCTGCTTGAGTTAGAGGGCGACACGTGCTGGCTTGGCTCTCCTCAAACCCGCTTCCCACTCCCTGTTTCCTACAGGGTGCAGCCCTGGAGTGTAGTTTTGGGCTGGAGGAGATCTTCGAGGCTGTGTGGGTGAATGAGTCTGTTGTACGCTGTGACCAGGTGGTGGTGAGTGGGGTGACTCCAGCATGGGTGGAGGACGGGCCTGCATAAGTCCAGATGCTGTACCTCTCACCCCACCCTGCCTCTCTCTGCCTTCTGGTTCCCCCATCCCCAGCAGCCCCAACTTCATCTGCCTCCATGACACCCATCCCCAGCAGAACCCCAGGCACTACCCATGCCCCCTATGCTCTTTTCCGCCCTTTTGCAGCTGCACACGACCCAGAAGAGCCAGGTGTTCCCACTCAGCCTCCAACTAAAGGGGCGGCCAGCCCGATTCCTGGACAGCCCTGAGCCCATGACAGGTGGGCACCCCCAGCCACCCCACATGGCCTCAGTGTAGTGGGTGGGGCTCGGCCTTGTGCGACTCATTCCAGTGGTTGCCCCAAAGCTGCAGATGTCCCACCCCATTGTTCCCCAGCACACACAGAGCCTTATATCCCAGCCCTGCCGTGCCATGCCAGGCTCTAGGCCTTGGGGTCTCCATGCATACTTTCCCTTGCCTTCCTGGGCCTGATTGTTCCCATAGAAAAGAGGACACAGGCCAGGCGCGGTGGCTCAAGCCTGTAATCCCAGCACTTTGGGAGGCCGAGACAGGCGGATCACGAGGTCAGGAGATCGAGACCATCCTGGCTAACACGGTGAAACCCCATCTCTACTAAAAAATACAAAAACCTAGCCGGGCGAGGTGGTGGGCGCCTGTAGTCCCAGCTACTCGGGAGGCTGAGGCAGGAGAATGGCATGAACCCGGGAGGCGGAGCTTGCAGTGAGCTGAGATCCAGCCACTGCACTCCAGCCTGGGCGACGGAGCGAGACTCCGTCTCAAAAAAAAAAAAAGAAAAAAAAAGAAAAGAGGACACAGTCCTTCTGCAGAGCTTGGAAGGACCTGATGAGCCGGGGCTCGCCCAGCCTTGAACGTGGCATCTGGGGTGTGGTCAGCACCCCTCGAGTGGCGGCTCTGCAGTTGCTGTGACTGTGTTGGGTCCACTCTCCAGGGGCTCCTCTGTTCATGGGGAGTCTCAGGCATCCCTGGTGGACGTGGTGCCCTCCAGATTCCCACCATGAAGGTCCCAGAATGGCCCTGCACACCCAAGGCCCCAGAGAACCCTCCCTGCCCTCCTCCTTGAGCTACTTGGAGGGTTTGAAGCCCCCAAGTCCTCATAGCCCACATTACTCAGGGGTCCCTGGCATCCTGCCTGCGGCCCTGCCGGGAGTGATCAGACCCACTGTGGCCTGGGTGGGATCTGGCTGTGACACCCACAGGCCTTGTGAGCTCGGGCGAGTCCCTCCTCTCTGAGCCTCAGCCTCTTCTGTGTAAAGTGAGGCTGACCCCAGGCTCCCAGCTGGAGTCTCTGTGAGGGGAAGGAAATCAGTGAGGCCGGGGCTGCACTGTGCTCAGCACAGGCCCCGGGGTTTGGGGAAGGGGCTAAGAACCTCACAGGATCCTGACGCCCAGAACCAGGACTTCCTCTGGGTAGGACACCACAATGATGGGGTGCAGACCTCTTGACAGCTGTTGAGTGTGGAGGGGACAGCGGTGATGGGGCATGCACTACAGAGCGGGGCTGACCGAGCTGCCCCGTGTCTCCCCAGTCGTGGTCTATAACTGTGCCACGGGCAGCCCCGACTGTTCCCAGTGCCTGGGCCGCGAGGACCTGGGTCACCTGTGCGTGTGGAGCGACGGCTGCCGCCTGCGGGGGCCCCTGCAGCCCATGCCTGGCACCTGCCCCGCCCCCGAGATCCGCGCGGTAAGCATGCCCAGTGGAGGCACGTGGCCCACACTCCGGCACAGCTCATAGGCAGCGTCCACAAGCGTCCCACTCCCTGGGGACTCGAACACCAGCACATACACCGGCTCATGGGTGCAGTATCACCTGTGAACAAAAGGAAGTGCTCTGCCTCACAGAGCTGACGTTTCAGTGGGGGAGGTGGACAGTAATAAATAAGGAAATGAGTAAATTATAGAAGGCATTGGAAGTGTGGCGTGGAGGAAACACCGAGGGCTGAACGTTGTTAGCTTTGGGGAAACCATGATCACTAAAGCCACCAATGACATGACCAAACATTGCCCCTGGAAGCTGACCTCAGCATCCTCCAGGAGAACCCCTAAGTAACATCCCCGGGCCCACATGGGCTCAGTAATGCACACACATATCCTCCTCGGCAGCACAGTGACCTGCCAAGTGGCCACTGCCCCAGCCCCACCTGAGCCCCTAGACCTTCCTTTAAGCATGCCCGTGCCCTGCTGGGTGCCTGTGACTGTGGGCAGAAGCCTGCTGGCCTCCAGCCTCAGACCCCATTCGCCCCTCTCTCGGGTCACCTGGCAGATTGAGCCCCTGAGTGGCCCGTTGGATGGCGGGACCCTGCTGACCATCCGAGGCAGGAACCTGGGCCGGCGGCTCAGTGACGTGGCCCACGGCGTGTGGATTGGTGGTGTGGCCTGTGAGCCACTGCCTGACAGATACACGGTGTCGGAGGAGTGAGTAGCCACGGTGCTCCCACCCACCCTCTCCAGCAGTGCCAGCCTCTGCTCTGTCCTCACCCCTCCCTCCCCATCCTCCGTCCTCACTCTGCTGCTTTCTGGAAGCCTGTTGCTTCGTGGCCTCGGGGACTGTGCCGAAGCCATTCCCACCACACATCCTGCCATTTCTGCTTGGGGCATCTGCTTTATCCTTCCAGCTCTGGCTCTGATGCCAGCTCCTCTGGGAAGCTCTCACAGGCTGCCCTAGCCCAGCCCTTCTTCCACCTAAGCCTTGCTCTGAGGAAAATCATTTAAAATTAAAAAGGCTGGGGCTACTGGCATGGTTTAGAGATCTGTGACTGGCCCAGAGGGGTCCTAGGAAACATGCATGAGCAGAGACTGAGCTGGCTTTCCTTTTGGGAGGCCGTGCGTCTGGCATGTGGAAGAGCCGTCATCTACCAGCCCAGCAGACGTTCTCATGATCAGAGACCGTCTTGTCCCAGCCCCTTGTCTTATAGTTGCAGAACTGTGGGAAACTCATGGGGTAAATTATACATAGAAGGCATTGGAAGTATGGTGTGGCGTGGAATGGGGCAATTCCTGAGCCTGGCTCCAGGGTGGCCATGGGGGCTGAGGACTGCTGGCCGCTCCCACTGACCACAGCACCTCCCCTCAGGATTGTGTGTGTCACGGGGCCAGCCCCAGGGCCACTCTCAGACATAGTGACTGTGAACGCCTCTAAGGAGGGCAAGTCCCGGGACCGCTTCTCCTACGTGGTAAGGGGGGCTACAGCCCACTGTCCCGCCTGCCCAGCACGCACGCTCCCGGGGGGCTGGCCCAAGGCCCAAACACCTGCCTTCCTCCCACAGCTGCCCTTGGTCCACTCCCTGGAGCCTCCCATGGGCCCCAAGGCCGGAGGCACCAGGATCACCATCCACGGGAATGACCTCCATGTAGGCTCTGAGCTCCAGGTCCTGGTGAACGACACAGACCCCTGCACAGAGCTCATGTAAGCCTCTGGGCCTGACCCACCCCTTCTAGTCCAGAGAAATCAACGGGCTTGAGGGCTGGTGGGCTGGAGGTGACATCCTTGAGCCAAGCCTCACCTGAGTCTTCATTGGCTGTGTCCCCTAAGCCAAGCCACTTCTCTCTGAGCCTCAGTTTCCTCAGCTGTCAAGAATAGTACCAGTAATTGGAAGAAGGGCTTTGTGCTAGGTATACAGTAGATGCTCCATAAGTGATAGCTGTAATGAGAATGGTGTTGATTGCACACATTCAGATCTTCTGGCTGGCCCAGGGGTGTGGTGAGTGGCAGGGGTGTGGTTGGAGTCTCTTGGCGAAACACCTTTGTCTTTATTATGCACTTATTGTGTACCAGACCCTACTAATGGGCATTGCTGGGACACCAAGAGGAGCACAACATAGCCCTCAAGGGAAGGGCAGACACACCCACAGGAAGTAGGAACATCCAGTGGGATTGGGAGAAAAGTCAGTGCCTTCAGGGATCTAGGGAGAGAGGCTTCACCAGGGGTGGAGGCGGGAGAGAAGACCTGGGAAGGCTTCCCGGAGGAGGTGGGATGGGGCAGAATTTGGAAGTATAAGGAAACAGCTAGGTGCTAAGATGAGTTGGGACCAGTCAAGGAGGCCTTGAACCCCGGGCCAAGTGCATGGGCCTGTGCCCCAGGTCTCAGGGGCATTGGCGGTGGGTGAGCAGCAGGAGGCAGGCCCTGCTGATAATCTGCTGCTCCCCCAAGGCGCACAGACACCAGCATCACCTGCACCATGCCTGAGGGGGCCCTGCCCGCTCCGGTGCCTGTGTGTGTGCGCTTCGAGCGTCGGGGCTGCGTGCACGGCAACCTCACTTTCTGGTACATGCAGAACCCAGTCATCACGGCCATCAGTCCCCGCCGCAGCCCTGTCAGGTAAGACTGGCACCCTGCCCTTCCCCCAGGCTCTCTGGGGCTGCAGGTGGACTGATAGGTTTTGCCGTCCCCCGCAGTGGCGGCAGGACCATCACGGTGGCTGGTGAGCGTTTCCACATGGTGCAGAATGTGTCCATGGCCGTCCACCACATTGGCCGGGAGCCCACGGTGAGGCAGTCAGGGACCTGATGGCTGGGAGGGGGTGGCCCAGGCACAGCCAGGGCCCTAACTGACCAGGCCTCCTCCCACTGCATCTCTGTCCCCTCTTCCTCCCTCTGCCTCTGTGTCTCCTCAAACCCCACTCCCCCCGTTTCTCCATGTCCATCCGTCCATCCTGCACCCCGGTCTTGGCCCCTGGCCCTCATGCCCCAGCTCTGCAAGGTTCTCAACTCCACTCTCATCACCTGCCCGTCCCCCGGGGCCCTGAGCAATGCATCGGCACCAGTGGACTTCTTCATCAATGGACGGGCCTATGCAGACGAGGTGGCTGTAACTGAGGAGCTACTGGACCCCGAGGAGGCACAGCGGGGCAGCAGGTTCCGCCTGGACTACCTCCCCAACCCACAGTTCTCTACGGCCAAGAGGGAGAAGTGGATCAAGCACCACCCTGGGGAGCCTCTCACCCTCGTCATCCATGTGAGCACGGAAGGGGCCAGGGTAGGCGGGGGCAAGCAAGCCAGCCTCAGCCATGGGCCTTGGGAGCACTTCCCCACACCACAGTTCTCCCCCTTTGCACCCACAGAAGGAGCAGGACAGCCTGGGGCTCCAGAGTCACGAGTACCGGGTCAAGATAGGCCAAGTGAGCTGCGACATCCAGATTGTCTCTGACAGAATCATCCACTGCTCGGTCAACGAGTCCCTGGGTGCAGCCGAGGGGCAGCTGCCCATCACAGTGAGTGGATGGGGTGCCGGAGCAGGGCAGACCCGGCCGCCACCCCTGGCCCATCTGCCAAGCATCTGCCCGTTACCCAGCACCTGAATTCACTGAGCGTTTTCATGCTCAATAGCTCAGTCCAGCAAAGCAAAGGAGAGCTTTATATCCCCACTTGACAGATGAGGAAAGTGAGGCCCAAGAACTTAGTGACTTGCTTGAGGTCAGTGATGGGCCCCATCTGGACCTGGACCATCAGAAACCATAAGAAGTTGTCCCTACGCCACTTGGTGTCTGTCCTAGAGCCTGGGCTGCCAGGCACCATGTAGAGGCATGGAGGGCAGGGGAGCAGGAGGAGCAGAGAGAGGCCAGAACGTGGGATCTTTTCTGCACTGTATCTCGTTGCATGCCTCCTGGGATGGGGAGCTCACTCTCTCCCAAGCAACATGTGCCACCCCAGGATGGCTCTGACTGGGAAAGCTTCCTTTTACCTGCACCTCAGTCCCAGTCCTGCCCTCTGAGTCATCATACCTCACCTACCCCCTGGTCCCAGGGCAGCCCTGCAGATACTTGGGGACAGCAGCCAGGCCCCGTGAACTGCTTCCTCTGGCTCACTCACTACTACTCCCAGGCTGTAATGATAATCACAGCCCTGTGTATTGAGCCACCTCTGTGCCAGGCCCAGGACCAAGGGCTTGACAAGCCCTCATTTAGCCCTCCCAGTGTCCCCAGGAGGTGGACATTGTTATCTCCATGTTATCAGGGTGGCACCTGAGGCTCAGAGAGGTTAGGTAATTTGCCCAGGGCCACACAGCAAATGAGGAGCAGAACCAGAGTGTAAGTCTAGGAGAGCTACAACCCCTTTCCCCAACCTCTACACAGATCCAGGTAGGGAACTTCAACCAGACCATCGCCACACTGCAGCTGGGGGGCAGCGAGACGGCCATCGTTGTGTCCATCGTCATCTGCAGCGTCCTGCTGCTGCTCTCCGTGGTGGGTAAGGAGCCCCACCCTCAGGATACCTTGGAGGGCAGGCTTGCCACCTTGCCCCAGCCCCTCTGAAGATTGGCAGATGGAGGAAGGCAGGATGGGATGGGGCACAGCTTAAACAAAGGCTTGGCCACGGGAACAGGTTAGGCACCCAGAGGTCGGGGGAGGTGTGCCCCTCTCCAGCACCAATGGGTAGAAGATGTTAGATGGCTGGGGGACATGCTGGGCCCAGGCCAAGGTCCCTGAATCTCAAGCAGAGAAATTTGGAACCGTGTTCTCCAGTCAATAGAGAGCTACTGGCCGGGCGCGGTGGCTCAAGCCTGTAATCCCCGCACTTTGGGAGGCCGAGACGGGCAGATCACGAGGTCGGGAGATCGAGGCCATCCTGGCTAACACGGTGAAACCCCGTCTCTACTAAAAAAATACAAAAAATTAGCCGGGCGAGGTGGCAGGCGCCTGTAGTCCCAGCTACTCGGGAGGCGGAGGCAGGAGAATGGCGTGAACCCGGGAGGCGGAGCTTGCAGTGAGCTGAGATCTGGCCACTGCACTCCAGCCTGGGCGACAGAGCGAGACTCCGTCTCAAAAAAAAAAAAAAAAAAAAATAGAGAGCTACTGAAGGTACTTAAGAAAAGGTTACTCAGGGAAAATTAACCTACATGTCTGGTGGGCTGTATCGCTGTTAAAATAATGGTCATGAAAGTAATAGACTCGACGTAGCAGAGAAACTGGAGCCGTCCTACACTACTAGAGGGAATAAAACAAAGTGCAGCCGCTTTGGAAAACATTTTGGCAGTTTCTTAGAATGTGAAACATAGAATTACCCTATGACTTACGAGCCAGCAGTTCTACCCCTAGCTATCTGTTCAAGAGAAATGAAAACGTAGCCACACAAAAACTTATACACACGTGTTTACAGCAACATTATTTATAATAACCAAGAAGTCAAAACAACCCAAATGTCCATCAACCAATAAATGGATAAATGAAATATGATCTATTCATACAATAGAAAATTTTCCGTAAAATATGATCTATTCATACAATGGACAGTTATCCATAAAAAGGAGTGGAGTACTGATCCATGTCACCATGGGCATGCACCTTGAAAATATTACACTAACCGAAAGAAGACTCACTGAAGGCTGCATATTGTATGATGCCGTTTATATGAAATGTTTAAAATAGGGAAATTCATAGAGACAGAAAGCTGAATGGTGATTGCCAGGGACTAGGGAGAGCATGAATGAGGAGTGACTGCTGAATGGCTATGGGTCTTCTTGAGGCAGTAAAAATGCTCTAAAATTAGTGGTGATGGTTGCACAACTCTGTGAATATACTAGAAACCATTGAATTAGGCCAGGCGCAGTGGCTGGTGCCTGTAGTCCCAGCACTTTGGGAGGCCAAGGTGGGTGGATCACTTGAGCCCAGGAGTTCAAGACCAGCTTGGGCAACATGGCAAAACTTTATCTCTACAAAAAAATACAAAAATTGCATGGGCATGGTGGCACAACTCTGTAGTCCCAGCTACTCAGGAGGCTGAGGTGGGAGGATCACCTGAGCCTGGGAGGTGGAGGCTGCAGTGCGCTGTGATCGTGCCACTGTACTTCATTCAGCCTGGGCAACAGAGTAAGACTCTGTCTCAAAAGAAAAAAGAAAGAAAAGAAACCATTGAAGTATACACTTTAAATCACCGGATTATATGGTATGTACATTATATCACAATAAAGCTGTTTTATTTTTAAAGTGAGTATATTCAATGCAGAAAATTTTTGGAAAAACTGAAAGATGATAAAAGGAAAAAATACCCATCATTAGTACCCTGTGTATTTTTGTATATTCCCTCCCAGTCTTTTTTCTGAAAATACTATATATTAATAGATATTTTAATACATTATATATACATTCCTCCCCACCCCAGAAAAGGTTATAATGTAATACTGCTTTGTAATCTGCTTTTAAAAGTTTCTTAATTTACAAGTAACACCTGGTCATTGTAGAAGGAATAGAAAATGCTCAAAAGCAGAAAGTAAACAGAAGTCACCCAGAATCTTCCCACCCAGGAAAGCCGCTGTTAACCACTATTTCACACACACACGTATTCCTGTTTCTGTTTCTTTTTTTTTAAGGGGGCTAGACAAATTCTAACAGAGCTGTAACACTACACATTTCTTTTTCTAAGAACAGGTCATCAGGCATTGCTTTGCTGGCCATTCCCCAAGCCCTCTGCCCATGGGAGAGCTCCCTGCAACTCCCCACCCCCAACTCCAACCCTGCCCAGGAGGGAGGACTGCAGGGCCTCCTCCCACACCTTGCCCAGAGGAGCTGGAGCTGAGGCCAGCGAGCAGAGCCCCAGGCCCTGCATACAGCAGGTGCCAATAAAAGCTTTTCAAGGGGCACTAGAGGCCTGACCTGCCCCTCCACTGCCCACAGCCCTGTTCATCTTCTGTACCAAGAGCCGACGTGCTGAGCGTTACTGGCAGAAGACGCTGCTGCAGATGGAGGAGATGGAATCTCAGATCCGCGAGGAAATCCGCAAAGGTAATGGGCTGGGACCCTGCAGGGCTGGGCCTCCACTTTCCCTCCTGGGGGATGGGTTCTCGGGCCACTCATGGCTGTCCGCGTGTCCGCCAGGCTTCGCTGAGCTGCAGACAGACATGACAGATCTGACCAAGGAGCTGAACCGCAGCCAGGGCATCCCCTTCCTGGAGTATAAGCACTTCGTGACCCGCACCTTCTTCCCCAAGGTCAGCCCGAGCCTGAGTCTGCCCCTGAACCTGTGCCAGCCACCTCAAGGCAACTCAACCTCTCTGAGCCCTGCCAGCCTAGAGGGTCCCTTGAGCAGTGGCAAACCTGCACAGCTGTCCACAGCCGTCCTGGCCACTTGCCCTGGCCTGCCACAGGGTGGAGGGTTGGAGGCAGATTCTTCACTCTTATTCTCTGCTCACTTGATGTTTAACTGTCCACACGGAAGCCAGCTGTAGCCCCACTCTCCTGGCCAGCTGGGCCTTCCTCTCCCCTTTTCAAGGTGGGGCAGAAGTGGCCAGGGCTGTCCCAAGCCCGCCTCTCTCCTCCCTGTGCCTCTTCCCAACCAGGCTTCACTTGGTCTCTACACTCCCTCCTTCTGTCCAATGGACTCCTGCGCCACCCCTTCCATGCCTGTCACGCCTCCCCTTGCCCTTCCAGGGTCCACTGCCCTCGCTCCCTCCTGGTGGTACCACCCTCCATCCCCTGTCCACACCATTCTCCACAAAGCGGCCAAAGCAAGCCCATGTTTGACTACATAATTTTTCACAAAACCCTCCAGTGGCTTTTCCCAGCCTCAGGCTAAAGCTCAGACTCCCAACCTCTCTGCCTCAGTTTCCCCCATTGCACATGGAGCTGCTTTTGCTTCCCCTTAAGCCTTGTGCTGTCTGGTGTGGCCATACTTCTGGAATTCCACAGCCCCCGGGCGTGGCCCACTGCCTCTTATTCCTTTATGGGGAGCTAATTCTGTGCCAGTTTCCCCCAGCAGCCCAAGCCGGTGCCCTTTCTGTATGAGTGACCTTTGCATGCCAGCAGGGGGTGTCCAGCCCCACTGAGATGCTGGGGGTCTGTCTCTGCAGTGTTCCTCCCTTTATGAAGAGCGTTACGTGCTGCCCTCCCAGACCCTCAACTCACAGGGCAGCTCCCAGGCACAGGAGACCCACCCACTGCTGGGAGAGTGGAAGGTGAGTACCCCCCAACCCACACACAGTGGGCTACTTCCGGGCAACCCTGCTCCTCCCTTTCCATTTCATCTAATCCATTGATCCCTGTCATGTGGAGGCATCTGCCATTGTAAGGTACTGAGGCCTCCATCCCAGGAGGCATTCAGGCAGCCATTCAGGGTGTTCTAAGTGCTGCCCCCCAAGGCCAGGTAGAGCAAACAGAGGATTGGACCCCCTCGTACACCCACTCCGCCTGCTGCTTAGAAAATGGAAGGTGAGAGTCCCTCACACTGGGATGCCAGGTTATCTTCAGGCACCCTCACCCTTCTCTGAGCCCCACTTCTCAATTCAACCAAGCCATCGTTCCCTGCCACAAAGGTTAGGAGGCATCCACCATGGAAGGTGATGAGCTCCCTATCCCGGGAGGCATACAAGCAGCCATCATAAGCATTGGCTGTTAGGCTAGGCAGGGACACTGGGCCCCTCTGGACACCCCATCACCAGTTGCTCCCACAGATTCCTGAGAGCTGCCGGCCCAACATGGAAGAGGGAATCAGCTTGTTCTCCTCGCTACTCAACAACAAGCACTTCCTCATCGTCTTTGTCCATGCGCTGGAGCAGCAGAAGGACTTTGCGGTGCGCGACAGGTCAGGCTGTGATGGACTGGGGTGGGGTAGGGAAGAGGAGCCTGTCCAAGGCCACACAGCATCAGGTCCTAGGTCCTGGGGCTCTGGGGCTCCTGACACCCCCATATTCCAGCCCTTCCTGGGCCTGGATGCCCGAGACCTTGGCTCACGGGGCACGGTGGTTGCTGCGGACATAGAAGAAGGTGGTGTTTCTCCGGGAGGATTCCAGCCCCACTCACCCCTCGCAGGACCCACCCACACAGGCACTCCTAGGACCGCTGGGCCCAGGGATGAGGCGGCACTGAGACCCTGGGACCCACAGCTCCTAGGGCCTCAAGGCGCAGCTGACACCTGCCTCCTGCTCGCAGGTGCAGCCTGGCCTCGCTGCTGACCATCGCGCTGCACGGCAAGCTGGAGTACTACACCAGCATCATGAAGGAGCTGCTGGTGGACCTCATTGACGCCTCGGCCGCCAAGAACCCCAAGCTCATGCTGCGGCGCACAGAGTCTGTGGTGGAGAAGATGCTCACCAACTGGATGTCCATCTGCATGTATAGCTGTCTGCGGGTGAGGCCGCCCGGGGACAGACAGAGCCCAGGCGGGGGCTGTGGCAGGGACGCAGCAGCAGTGACCCCACGGCCTCCCAGGCCTTCCCTGGCACCCTCAGGCCAGCTCTGCCAGGAGGGAGTGTTGCATGAGACAGGCCAGGCTGTAGGGCCTGTTATGCAGAGCGGGGAGCCATGGCCCAGGGGAGGCCTGGCTGGCTTGCTGCAAGGGCTCAACAGATGCTTGGGGCATAACAGAGGTTGTGTCAGGGGCCTTCCATCCGTGGTTTTCTCAGTCATCCACCCTTCCCTACTTTGGATTCAGGAGATGAAATCAGCCCCTGGCTGGCCCTTGAGGCTCTCCTAACCCTAAGGGCGAGACGTGGAAACAAAATACAGAGTGGCCAGTGCCTTGCAGCAGAGCTCAGCTCATGAGGCCTCCATCTGTCTGGAGGCTTCAAGGTGGCTTCCTGGAGCAGGCGACCTTGTGCTGAGACCTCAGAGAGTGGGCCGGGCGAGGATGGTGGGGAGGGTGCTCCAGGCATCAGGTACAGCAGAGAGTGGGC